TATATATTAAATGATTTGAACATCCAAATGATTACCAGAAATTTTCAGCTGGAAAAAAGACTTAAATACAGAGTTGTTTCAGAGCACCTTACTCCTTGTCAGTGGCAAATATTACAAACGATTCCAAATGATTCTACACCAGAAAATTCCTTCGATTCTTGGCAACCTTGTAATGGTCATCTCTTCCCTTTTAATTTGTTCTTTCTTCCATTTAGTGTTTTAAACAACACTTTATACCCATAACTGTGCCTTCATGATGCAATTAAGTGTCTAACTTTACTGTTCTCTTCAAATCACCTATTTCTAAATATCTGAATAATTACTTCACTCTTTTATAAGCCTTTCTAAAGCCTCATCCACTGCCAATGAAATTGTATCTAATAGACTGGAACAGGGTTGATGTGGATCCGTAAACTAAAGTGTGCGCAAATTTGGTGCTTGCATGAGTCTGTCTGCTCAGTTATTCTAAAAAAAAAAATATGTTTTTGGAGTCACCCCAAAAACATAACTCAAACCCCAAACAGTCAATAATCCCTAGTAATTTACTGTGTGACATCCTGTTGCAATTATATGTCAATGTGGATGAGTTTTATGGATTTTTTTTATCTCTATATTTTCTATTTTACATTTATTCTTCATTTGTTTATGATCTCATGCAGGATACTAAGGATTACAGACTGGCAAGGGTTTCTGGCAGATTGTGACCTTACTATAACAGTGGTGGACTCTGGAGCCAATCTGTATTTCTTCTGCATGATTCCAAAACATAAATATTCAAAATTAATTTTAGATTAGATGGGACCTATGGGCTAGTTAGGTCTCTCTGCTTTGGCTTTGAACTACTATGTTCAATTTCTTTGAGTTCCAGCAATGGAGCCATTTTCACTTTTATTATTACAGACTGGCAAGGGTTTCTGGTCCATTGACATATAATGATATTGCTACTGCTTCATCGGAGGGGAGCAAGGACATTTGGACAGACAGAGAAAGAGACTGGGATGAAGCAGAAGCTATTGACACAGGTCAGAATAGAATTGTAGGCCTCTTCTTTGATTGGCTGGGAATTAACCGGACCAGATGTAGAAGCCATCTAACATTAAAGATTGATTTCTTTATTTTGCGTAAATAAATTTATTTCTTTATAATAGCTTTTAGTTGCCTCATTTAGCTGATTCACGTTCCAAGTTGTGTTGGGTTTAGAATGACGCCTTTGCTTTTCCTGCTTTGAGATTTTTTTGTTTTGTTTTTGAACGATTAGCACAATGCCACATTAAAGATGATAAATGATTTTCCAGTTCAATCAAAATTAGTGTTAAACACACATGGTGGCATTTATTTGTGGAGTCAATAAGCTATTACTTATTTATAATTTAAATGACTAAACACATCCTAATAAATGACTAAATGCATCCTGGGATGCTTTTTAAACAGTACTGAAGGAGTTCCTGTGTTTGCTGGACACTTGTTGGATGCTTTTCCTTCAATATCTGCTCCAACTTGTTCATTAAAAACATTTTAGTTAGAATTTTAGTTTTGAAAATAAATTCATTTGGCCCAATTTATATTTGTCTTCAAAACATATCTCAAGCAATAAAAGCAAAGCATTTAGATCAAAAGGGTTTTAAGATCATGAGAAACAAATTCGGTCAAGTGATTGTTTAGTGGTGCACATGACTATGAAAGAAGCAACAAGATTCCACTAGCGTTAATAACATAGCATTGCAAATAGCATTGGTAGGGCAGCAGATGCCCTGGATTTCAGATCTCAGACCTTTTTCCTCCTCTAGCAGGAAAATCAAAATATCACAATCGAAATTAGACTCAAATTTACACTTTAGAACCATGGGGATTCTTAACAAGACCCGCTATAGTAAGAAAGTTAGCTGAAAATGATTGGATGGCCTGAAGCAAAGCTAGTACACACTCTTCTTATCTCCTTAAGATTGGAAAGCTCAGATTTTGGTTTAAAAAATGTACCTTGTTCATTATCATTGATGATAGAAATTAAAGCTGAGTTAGGGTTATCTTTACCACCAGTTCACGTTTTTGCAATAATAAATTACATGCTAGGTCTCTGACCCTGCATTTTTACTTTCATCTGGATGTAGTTTACAAGTCACAGTTTACCATCTGTTGATTGACTATGGTGGAATGACTAAACAATGAATATATACACGGTTTTATAGTACAAGTGACCTCAGAATTTTGGAGTAATTGGTCATTTCTGGCTTCATTCATTTTGCAGTAGTAGCAGTTGTTTAGGAACAAAATACATCAACAACAAAAAGTGTTGGTAACTCATTTTGTGCACATATTTAGTTTGGAAGTCATTGCATCTGGTTAGACAGTTTTATATAT